CCCAGCCGCTCCGCGGCATGCGGGATCCTCCCGAAACGGGGCACGAACCCGCGTCTCCTGCATCGGCAGGCGGACTCTCAAGCACTGCGCCACCAGGGAAGCCCTCAGTTTCTGCTTTATAACAAAGTGAATCAGTTATACATATACATATATCCCCATATCTCTTCCCTCTTGCGTCTCCCTCCCACCCTCCCTATCTCATCCCTCTAGTGGTCACGAAGCACCGATTGATCTCCCTGTGCTATGCGGCTGCTTCCCACTAGCTATCTATTTTATGTTTGGTAGTGTATATATGTCCATGCCACTCTCTCACTTCGTCCCAGCTTACCCTTCCCCCTCCCCATATCCTCAAGTCCATTCTCTCGTCTGCGTCTTTATTCCTTTCCTGTCCCTAGGTTCTTCTGACCATTTTCTTTTTTTTAGATTCCATATATATGTGTTAGCATGTGGTATTTGTTTTTCTCTTTCTGACTTACTTCACTCTGTATGACAGTCTCTAGGTCCTTCCACCTCACTACAAATAACTCAGTTTCGTTCCACACTTTCTTTTTAAATTAATTTTTATTGGAGTATAGTTGATTTACAATATTGTGTTCGTTTCTGCTGTACAGCAAAGTGAATCAGTTATACGTATACATATATCCACTCTTTTTTAGATTCGATTCCCATATAGGTCACTTCAGAATATTGAGTAGAGTTCTCTGTGCTATACAGTAGGTCCTTGTTAGTTATCTACTTTTTTTTTTTTTTTTTTTTTGTTAATGGGCCTCTCACTGTTGTGGCCTCTCCCATTGCAGAGCACAGGCTCCGGACGCACAGGCTCAGTGGCCATAGCTCACGGGCCCAGCCGCTCCGCGGCATGTGGGATCTTCTCGGACCGGGGCACGAAACCGTGTACCCTGCATCGGCAGGCGGACTCTCAACCACTGCACCACCAGGGAAGCCCTAGTTATCTACTTTATATATAGTGTGTATACGTCAATCCCAATCTCCCAATTTATCCCTCCCCCCCGGGGGGGGGGGCGGTGTGACATTCTTAAGATCCACTGAAGGACTCAGGGGTGGTTGGGGGCTACAGGGGGCCAGGGAGAAGCTGGGATTCCAAGCGTAGGTGACCTCAGGGGTCTTATCTGGGTGGAGACTTCCCATGGTTCCTCCTCTCCAGGCACAGCTGAACACTACAACAGTAACATGGGGCGTGTATGGCACTTTACCAAGCCCTTTCCTCGTATGTCTTTGTAGCAGCATCTCTCACAAGAACCCTAAGGTCAAATGTTATCATCCCCGTTTTATAGAGGAAGATATTGAGTCTTGGAGTAGTTAAGTCATTTGCCTCAGGGTTCACAGCTTCTGAGTGGCATCAGAGGAACTCAAACCCAGCAGGAGAGATGGTTATTTCACTCCCATCTGGAAAAATGTATCCAGCTGCCTGCTGGTCTGGGCCCAGCTCCAGCCAGGGGCAGGACAGCTACACTCCCACCCGTGGGGAACTTTCTGTCAGTCTGGGAGGGCAGAGCCCTCCCAGTGTGCAGGGCCATCTCCTCCTGTGGGACTCTTACCCAGCTTCCCTCCTGCTTTCCCAGGCCCTGAAAAACCTCCAGGCATCTCCCATGGATCTGTGACTGAGGTGGGCAGCTCTCCCAGCAGCCCTGGACAGCAGTGAGTAACCTCAGCATGGAAAGGGGTCTGACTGCCCTCATCTTTCCCTTTCTCTGTCTCCATCCTACCTCTCCCTTAACTGGTTTCTTCTGCAAAATTACACGAATCCAGAAGGATATCCTCCCTTGGGAATTCATGCATCCGGCAGCACTTCACTCTCCATGGGTGAGAGCAACAGTTGCCGTTCTTTGTCTATATGTTTATTTTTAATAACAAAAGTTGTATCTTCTTGTTTAAAAAGTCAAACAGTGCAGAACCACACTATGTAGAAAGTGCAAGTTTTCAGTTATGAGAAATGCCTCACCCCTCCATGCTCATCCCAGTACTCCATAACCAGAATTAATCCCCTTTTTACAGATGGGTAAACTGAGTCACAGAACGATGAAGCGTTTGGTCTAAGATCATAGGCTAGGAAGTGGCGGAGCCAGGGAGGGTTCTGCCAAATCACCCATGAAGCTATTTAGCTAAACTACCTACAACTTTTCCCCTAAAAGGAATTTTAAGTGAAAAGCAGGAATTCTGTTTTAAATATATTTTCCCCCCTCTGGATAGAAAGAAAAGGGGGCGTGGGGAGAGAAAGAGAGAAAAGGGAGAAAACACTGCCCATAGTATTGTACAACTGGCCTTTAGCTCTGCAAAGGCTGGATCATGGCTCATGTCTTAAAGTCACATTCCCGGAAGGGCTCCCAACTGAGATGGCCGTGGCCTTGGGAGGCCTCCACAGGTGGGGTGGTCAAGTCCCGGGGCTGCTCCCTGGCAGCACCAGACAGGAGTTGGGGTGCGGGATGGGTGAGCGGGTCGCGGTCCCTGACGGCTGCACTCTCCCTCCGCAGGCCCCCGGCCGGCGGCATGTGGCTGCGGCGCATCTCCAGCACCGCGGTGACCGCGCTCCTGCTGGCGCAGACTGGCCTCCTGCTCTTCCTAGTCTCCCGGCCCAGGCCGCCGTCCCCGGTGGGTGGCGAGGAGAGGGTGCACGTGCTGGTGCTGTCCTCGTGGCGCTCGGGCTCGTCCTTCGTGGGCCAGCTCTTCAGCCAGCACCCCAATGTCTTCTACCTGATGGAGCCTGCGTGGCACGTGTGGGCCGCTTTGTCGCAGGGCAGCGCGGTGGCGCTACACATGGCAGTGCGCGACCTGGTGCGCTCCGTCTTCCTGTGCGACATGGACGTGTTCGACGCCTACCTGCCGTGGCGGCGCAACCTGTCGGACCTCTTCCAGTGGGCGGAGAGCCGCGCGCTGTGCTCACCGCCCGCCTGCAGCGCCTTCCCGCGCGGCGCCCTCAGCAGCGAGGCAGTGTGCAAGCCGCTGTGCGCGCGACGGCCCTTCGGCCTGGCCCAGGAGGCCTGCCGCTCCTACAGTCACGTGGTGCTCAAGGAGGTGCGCTTCTTCAACCTGCAGGTGCTCTACCCGCTGCTCAGCGACCCGGCGCTCAACCTGCGCATCGTGCACCTGGTGCGCGACCCGCGGGCTGTGCTGCGCTCGCGCGAGCAGACGGCCAAGGCACTGGCCCGTGACAACGGCATCGTGTTGGGCACCAACGGCAAGTGGGTGGAGGCCGACCCGGACCTGCGTGTGGTGCGCGAGGTGTGCCGCAGCCACGTGCGCATCGCTGAGGCCGCCATGCGCAAGCCACCGCCCTCCCTGCGCGGCCGCTACCGCCTGGTGCGCTTCGAGGACCTGGCACGGGCGCCTCTGCCCGAGATCCGCGCGCTCTACGCCTTCGCAGGCCTGAGCCTCACGCCGCAGCTCGAGGCCTGGATCCACAACATCACCCACGGGGTCGGGCCAGGCGCCCGCCGTGAGGCCTTCAAGACTACGTCCAGGGACGCGCTCAACGTCTCGCAGGCCTGGCGCCACACGCTGCCCTTTGCCAAGATCCGCCGCGTGCAGGAGCTGTGTGCGGGCGCACTGCAGCTGCTGGGCTACCGGCCAGTGTTCTCTGAGGACGAGCAGCGCGACCTCGCCCTGGACCTCATGCTGCCGCGCGGCCCGAGCAGCTTTAGCTGGGCATCATCCACTGCCGAGCACTCTGGGCCATAGCAGAGGCCCCCCAGCTGTGGCTGGCGGTTGCCAGGGCCAGGAGACTCACGTGTGGTGGGGAAGGAGCTGGGGTGCACGAGGCCGCGAGTTTGGGAGATCCCCCACGTAGTAGGAAAGGACCGAGTCCCCAGACTATGTTTCTTTCTCCCCACTTCTTGTTTTTCCTTTGAATCCTCTTTAGGAGCTAGATTCCCACCACACACACTCTTCATGGAAAGCAGACTCGTGCCCCCACTTCCTCTGGGCACAGGGAATAAGTTCAGATGACTTGGCTCCTACTCCAGCACTTTCTTTCCCCTTAAGTCTCCGTTGGCATGCCTCATCCTGCAGTTGAGAAGGCTGTCCCGGCCCTGCCTGGGAGTGGAGGGACACTGTGGTGAGCTGGTCCCTGAAGTCGGTACATCTCCCCCTACACACACCCCGTGCCTCTGGCACCACACACCACCAAAGCCAGTGCTTTTATGTTCACCTGTACCTTCAGTAAGAAATCAGCCAAGGTACCTCTATCTTGTGGTCTCCCCTTAGTCTCTCTCTGCCCCAATCCCCTGGGAGCCCACATGCCCCCATCACCTGTCCAGGGAAGGTGAACTTTGATTTGTCCTGACAGAAAAGATCCTACCCACAGAAATAAACATAATTCACCTGTATGATACAGATTAGAGTTTACAGCCTGTGAAGTTTGACAAGCTAAACGCAAAAGCGAAGGGACTTGTCCAAGGCCACACGATGAGAAGGAGGATGAAGGGAGGAGGGGGGGTTTGCTCCGAGACCGCAGTGGGGAGGATAGGGCGAATCAGGCTTGCAGAGGCCTGTCTCCTGGACAAAGAAGGGCCAGGTGTTCCCATCTTATTTGCTCAAGGGATCAGCCAGCAGCCATGGCTAGGCCCGCAGCTGTGAGGTGAGATATGGAAAGTGGTGAGCTCTGGGTCCAGGGTGCAGAATCTAGGGAGCCTCCTAGATAAGCCTGGAGGGAGGCAGTGAGGGGGAAAAGTGGAGAAAGAGAAGGCTGGGCAGGCCAGGGCAGCAAGCCAAGCAGAGCGTGTGGCAGAGCCAGAGGTTGGCAGCAAGATCAGTGCCTGGAGGGCAAGTCACGGGGTGAATGTAACTAGATAAAGCTTGCCAGGAGCCTGGAAGAAAAATGGCTCTGGAGTGGTTGTCTTCCTGTGGTCCTTATGTGCCAGGCCCTGGAGAAGAGCAAAGTACGATTCCTAGCTGCGAGCCACAACGCCTGGCTCTGGTGGCAAAGCGTCTTATTAAATGGATGCTGGATTTTAAAAAGGGGTGGGGTAGGGGGATGCCGGATGTGTAGAGGGCTAGTCCTGAGCTCAGGATATGAAAGCCAGCCGTGCTTAAAAAATGTTTAAAAGAAAGGGGGAAAAAAGGTCACAGCACCTCTAGGAAGGACAGAGAAGCAGATTTGAGTCCACACAAATAGAATAACCCAAATCACACTGGGATACAGAGTTGGTCTGGGGACTGACAGTTGCCACCAGAACTCCTGTGCCCATTACCTCTGGAAGTGAGGGAGCTGCCCTCATCATTGCCATCAGTCACCAGAAGGGATTCTGGAGGTCTGGCTTCTGATTCTCAGCCTGGGTGTGGCCTTGGATTGGTGGGACCTGGATGGTAGACCCACATCCTCGCTGCAAAGCAGCAGGCCAAGGGCAATCTGGCACTTTCCGTTTCTTTTCTTGCAGGGAGCAGAGGTATACTGACCTTGAAGCTGAAGCTTCAGGATGCCTCAGTTGGGGATCTGTCAAGCTGTAGAAACTTCAGGCCCCATAAAGCCCCCATCTGCCCCTGCTCACGGTAGCATGGAGAAGATATCTAAAACCCAGAATTTATTAATGGAGACTTTGGCTTAGAAAGACTAAGGTCACATAGCTTAATATGTGGGCTGGAACTCAAACTCATCTTTGACTTCAATACTTAGATTCTAACAAGGAAACTGAACTGGGGATGCAGCAGAGGATTCCATCACAGGCTTGGAAAGCCAGATCATTACCCAGAGACGTGGGTCTCTGGGTCAGGGAGTGGTCCTTGCATTTTGTTTGTTTGTTTCCAGTTTTACTGAGAAAGAATTAACATACGTCACTGTATAAGTTTAAGGTGTACAACATGATGGTTTGATTTACATGTATTGTGAAATGATTACAACACTAGGTTTAGTTAACATCAGCCATCTCATTTAGATAGAATAAAAAGAAAAGAAAAACACAACTAAAAAATTTTTAGGGCTTCCCTGGTGGCGCAGTGGTTGAGAGTCCACCTGCCGATGCAGGGGACACGGGTTCGTGCCCTGGTCCAGGAGGATCCCATGTGCTGTGGAGCGGCTGGGCCCGTGAGTCGTGGCTGCTAGCCTGCGTGTCTGGAGCCTGTGCTCCGCAACGGGAGAGGCCACAACAGTGAGAGGCCCGCGTACTGCAAAAAAAAAAAAAAAAAAAAAAAAATTAAATTTTTAACTGTTATAAGAGATGAAGATTTAATACCTCCATCTCTCCTTATCTTCTCTCCAAACTTTTATCATACTTTTAATTATATAATTGACCTACAGTACTGCATTAGTTCCAGGTGCACAACATAGTTACTTGATGTTTCTGTACGTTACAAAATGATCACCGCCATCCTGGCATTTGTCTGCAGACATCTCAAGGACCAGAATGATGAATGGTGAGCAGTTGGCTGGGGCAGTGGGGCCACTGGGGATAAAAGCAGCCTGCTGGCCCTGCCTGGAAGGAGCACATTGTTAAGTGGAGGAGTCGGCTAGGAAGTCTCCAGCAATGTGGTATGTTCAGGCAAAGAAGGTTGAGCAAGAGGTTCATGGAGCCAGAGGCTAAGAACAGGGAGCCACTGATCCCTAGTGGGGTTCAGGAAGGCATTTGGGGTGGGGCTTAGAGCCCAGCCTGATAGTAGCATCCCACAAGTTTCATTTGCCCCTGCTTGGGTCACCGATGACACAATTAATGGCCTTTGTTATGTGACTCATCCATTCTCACCTGTCTCCCAAGGTTCCATGATAACGATGACTGGCTATTGGATGTGGCTCCCTGCATATGGGGCCCTCTGGGCAAGCCTCTGCATGAGCTACAGGGCGCAGCAGGTTCCGAGCAAGCCTCTAGGTGAACCCACATCAGGTTTCAGGACAAAGATAGGCAGTGCCAGTCCAGTGTTTCAATGAGTCAGTCCAGGGCTAAGCCCTGGGGACTTAGTCACAGCCCTTGCTCTTGTGGGGAGTGCAGATGTTAAATAAATAGTCCTACAGATAAATATGCAACCATAAGTGTCTCTTGTGCTCTAAGAATAAATAAGAATGGGTAGAGGGTGACCTACTTTAGTATGGAGAGCCAGGAAAACATTTTCGAAGAGGAAACGTTTGGTTTGAATAGATAGGGACTTCCCTGGTGGTCCAGTGGGTAAGACTCCGTGCTCCCAATGCAGGGTGTCCGGGTTCAATCCCTGGTCGGGTAACTAGATCCCACATGCATGCCGCAACTAAGAAGTCCGCATGCCGCAATTAAAGATCCTGTGTGCCACAACTAAGACCCGGCACAGCCTAAATAAATAAATAAATAATTTGAAAAATAAGTAGGAGTTAATTGAGCATAGGATGAAGAGGCAGCGAGAGACTGAGGGATTGGTCTCTTTGGAATCAAGGTTCGTTGGCAAAATAAAAGAATCGGTCCTGGGAATCCAAGCTCATGGGATGGGAGAGGCCCCAGGACGTGACTGAGTTTGTGTGTCTATGGTAAAGAGTATTAGAAGTAGAACTGCTGGATCAAAGAGCATCCATGCTTTAAGTGTGAAATTGCCAAATTACTCTAAAAATGGAGTACTGACTTATGTTCTCTGGAATGGTGTCAGGAAGGCCCTTGTCACCCTTTTCTATTGACCCCCTCCCCATCATGTGTACAGGGTAAATCATTTTCATTTTTACCTACCGGATGGAATATTATGCAGCAGTAAAATGAAATGAACTATCAAACCATGAAAAGACATTCAGGAGGGAACCTGAGTGAAAGAAGCCAATCTGAAGAAGCTACATTTAGTATGATTCCAACTGTATGACATTCTGGAAAAGGCAAAACTATTCAGACAGTAAAAAGATTAGTGGTTGTGAGAAATGGAATATTTCCTACCATACCAGTAAACAAAGCATGCCACAGCCACCAGCGATTGCAGCAGAGCTGGTGAGCCCTGAGGGAACTCAGGAAGGAAAGAATACCTGCCATCTAGCAGTCATCAGACTGCAGCCACTCCCCATGGTGCACCCTGAGGAAACCCAGGATGTGAAAATACAGGATACTGGCCCCAGATAGCTGAGGTGCATAATCAAAGGAGTGATTTCAGTGAGCCCAGGCTCTTTCATCTTCCCATACATAGAAAAGCTCTAAATTCCTTAATTTGACATATCTGGTTTCCCTAATTAACAATAATCTTTTGATGTTCCCGACTGCCTGCCCCTTGTTGCAAAACTCCTATGTATTCTAGCTCCACTGACTTCCTCGGAGCAGTTTCTCAGAGCTATCTGAAATGCTGTCTCCTGGGTTGCAGTCCTCATTTTGCCCCAAATAAAACTTAACTTGCAGCTCTCACGTTGTGCTTTTTTTTTTTTTTTTTTTTTGGGGTACGCGGGCTTCTCACTACGGACGCGCAGGCCCAGCGGCCATGGCTCACAGGCCCAGGTGCTCCGCGGCACATGGGATTCTCCCGGACCCGGGCACAAACCCGCGTCCCCTGCATCGGCAGGTGGACTCTCAAACACTGCGCCACCAGGGAAGCCCTGTGCATTTTTTTTAAGTCAACAGTTGCCAGGGGTTGTGGGTGGGAGGGGAGGGATAAATAGATGGAGCACAGAGAATTTTTAGGGCAGTGAAAATACGCTGTATGGTGCTCTAATGATGGATATATGCCATGGATGACATGTACATATAATGATGGATATACATTTGTCCAAACCCATGGAATGTGCAACACCAAAACTGAACTCTAAGGTAAACTATGGACTTTGGCCGATTATGATGTGTCATTGTAGGTTCATCCTTGGTAACAAATGTACCATTCTGGCGGGAGATGTTAATGGGGGACGCTGTGAACTGTGTGAGTGCAGAAGGTATATGAGAAATCTCTGTAGTTCCCTCTCAATTTTGTTGTAAACCCAAAGCTTCTCTAAAAAATAAAGTCTTTAAAAAACAGAACAAAACTAGATCAAAAGCCTTAGTAGCCTCGGGAGGGTACAGGAATGCTGCTGAAATGGGAGGAGTTGGCCAGGAACACAGAGCCTGCCACAGCCCGGACTTTGAATTTTCCCAGGGTGGCAAGCCCTTAGAGCCAGCTGAGTGTTTTCTCCCTTGGGGTTTAATCTGGAGAACCTGGTTGGCCATGCAAATCTGGTGCTGTCCTGATCCCAGTCTTCAGATCCTCCACATCTCCATTCATTCATTCAACACACATTATGGATTGAGCCCCAACCAGTTGTTTTTTTTTTACTTTTTTTTTTTTTTTTTTGCGGTCCGCCGGTCTCTCACTGTTGTGGCCTCTCCCGTTGCGGAGCACAGGCTCCGGACGCGCAGGCCCAGCGGCCATGGCTCACGGGCCCAGCCGCTCCACGGCACGTGGGATCCTCCTGGACCGGGGCACGAACCCGTGTCCCCTGCATCGGCAGGCGGACTCTCAACCACTGCGCCACCAGGAAAGCCCCAACCCGTTTTAAAGGGAAGGATCATGGGGATTAGGAATGTCTGCGTGCAGGGGTGTGAGTTGCAATTTTTAATGGGGGGATCAGTGTAGGTCTCATTGTGAAAGTGACATTTGAGCAAAGTCTTGAAGGAGGTAAAGCAGTTAATTTAGGGATAACTATGGGTAAATTGTACTGTAGAAAGAAATAGGTAGTACAAAAATCCTAAGGAGGGAACATATCTGGAATATTGGAAGAACAGCAAGGGGCTACTGAGTCTGGTGTGGTAGGCCAAAGGAGGAATTCTAGGAGATGGGGAGAGAGGGCGTCAGATTATGTATGACCTTGCAGGCCTTGTGAGGACTTTGGCCTTTATTTGGAGTGAGATGAAGGGTGTCCAAAGCCACTTTTGTTCTATGGCCCTCCTTAGTTGAATAAATAAATATAAATATAATGTCATATATATGTGACATAATATATAATATTTATAATGTCATAGATATTTAAAAAAATAGAACGAGTACCCAAAATATTTCATTTTCATTTTACTGCCTTTGTTAATATCCTGAATTAGTATATTGTTAGTTTTGCAAGCTTTTGAACTGGATTTAAATTGAATCACAGTGTGGGCTTCTTTTTTCTGCAACTTAGATTTTCCCCTCAAGTTTACATTCCTGGGATTCATCATGTTGTTGCTTGCAGCTTTAGGTCATTTCTTTCTACTACTGAATAGTATTTTATTGAAAATAATACAATTTTATTTATCCATCTCAATGAATACTTGGCTTGTTTTTAGTTATGTACTGTTACAGTGCTACTAGGAACAATCTTGTCTGTATCTCCTCGTATGAATGCTACAGGATATTTACCTGGGAGTGAAATTGCCAGATCATGAACATCTTCATTCAACATTATTCCAGATGGTTATATCTGTTTACACCTCCAGAGTTCCAGCTGCCCTGCAACCTCAGTAACAATCAGATTCTCAGACTTTTAAATTTTTGGCTGTTGGGTGGTTGACAAATGATACCTCATTGTGATTCATTTTGTGTTTCACTGATTAATGAGGTTAAGCATGTTTTCCTGGGTTTTTTGGCCATTTGTATTTCTCTTTGATGAAGTACCTCTTCAGGTCTTTTGTCTCTTCATCATTTGCTTATTGATTTTCAGGAGTGCTAAATGCTATTCCTATGTCAGTTATACGTATTGCAAATATCTTCCAGTTTGTGGCTTGTCTTTATACTTTCTTTGTGGTAACTCTTGAATAATACAAGGTCTTAATTTAAAGTAATTAAATTTATCCATCCTTTCCTTTATGGTCTTCACTTTTTGTATCTAGTTTAAGAACTCTTTCACCATCATGAGACATAAGGATATTCAACATTGCCGTCTAAAAGTTTTATAGTTCTGCATCTCACTATAAGTGAAACGAGGGTGTGGATGTCTAAAAAACAAACAAAAACACCTAGTGTTTGTTTGCTTTATATTTGCTTCATAATTTTCTTGCAGGTTTGTGTCTTTCCTGGAGTTTGTATTGTTTTTCAGTGTTTTCCCATTGAGAGAAGAAACAGGTACCTTCTTCACCGTGTCCCTAAAATTTTGAGATTAACGATTTTGTCTATAGCTGAAATCAATTCCATTATTTTTCCTGAGGATACTCTTTCTTCTGTTCTAATCTGGTTAGGTGGCTGCTAAGACTCACACAGAAGTCAATCTAACATTCCTGGTTAAATCCACCATTCCTTATACCGCCCATCTTTTTCTTTCTTAGTCATCACTCTTTTACTTCGCTGGAGTACGTACTCAGCTTCCTTAGAAAGGGCACATGTTGGACTTCCCTGGTGGCGCAGTGGATAAGACTCCACGCTCCTAATACAGGTAGGCCCGGGTTTGATCCCTGGTCAGGGAACTAGATCCCACATGCACACCGCAACTAAGGGTTCACATGCCGCAACTAAGGAGCCAGCAAGCTGCAACTAAGGAGCCCACCTGCTGCAACTAAGACTCAGCACAACCGAATAAATAAATAAATAAATAAATATTTTTTTAAAAAAGGGGGCACATGAAACATACATTCTCTGAGTCCTGCAAGTCTAAATGGCTTTTCAGAAATTTCTCAATTCACAATCGGAATGAGGATAGAATTCTAAATTAAAAATAATGTTTCCTAATGTGATACATTATTGATGGTTATATAAGCTTAAAATAATTGGTTTTTCCACTTCTTATACACTCTGCTAGTCTGGGAAATGTACCAAAAGACAGCATTGTTAAATATTTCATGACTTTTTGAAATACTATTTTTGTCTTAGAAAAGTTTCTTGGTTGATGCAAAGTCCCAGTTGTAGGGTTAGAGAACTGGCATTAGAAAGCTTCCAAAACAAAGGCTTTCAAAAGGGAACTCTAATAAACAATGTTGCTAATGTTCTTGAATTAAAAGGAAATATTACATATTTTGTGCACGATGCTTTTTTTAAAAAAATTATTTATTTATTTATTTATTTATAGCTGTATTGGGTCTTCGTTGCTGCGTGGGGGGCTTTCTCTAGTTGCAGCGAGCGGGGGCTACTCCTGCGGTGCATGGACTTCTCATTGCGGTGGCTTCTCTTGTTGCAGAGCACGGGCTATAGATGTGAGGGCTTCAGTAGTTGACACGCGGGCTCAGTAGTTGTGGCTCGTAGGCTCTAGAGTGCAGGCTCAGTAGTTGTGGCACACAGGCTTAGTTGCTGTGCGGCATGTGGGATCTTCCCGGACCAGGGCACGAACCTGTGTCCCCTGCACTGGCAGGAAGATTCTTAACAACTGCACCACCAGGGAAGTCCCACAATGCTTTTTTTTTTTTTTTTTTGCGCTACGCGGGCCTCTCACTGTTGTGGCCTCTCCCGTTGCGGAGCAAAGGCTCCAGCCACGCAGGCTCAGTGGCCACGGCTCACGGGCCCAGCCGCTCCGCAGCATGTGGCATCCTCCCGGACCGGGGCACAAACCCATGTCTCCTGCATCGGCAGGCGGATTCTCAACCACTGCGCCACCAGGGAAGCCCCCACGATGCTTTTTAATTAATTATTTTTTTATTGGAATATAGTTGACCTACAATATTATGTCAGTGTACTACATAGTTATTTCACATTTGCTTACGTTACAAAATGGTCACCACTGTAAGTCTAGTAACCATCTGTCCCCAGTTATTACAATATTATTGACCATATTCCTTATGTCGTATACAATGTTTTTTAATTTAAAGTGAAGTTTTCCCCCAAAATCATTTCTTTCCAAATATTGAAGGTATTGCTGCATTGTGTTCCAGCTTCTTTCACCTGACTGCTGAAC